CATAGCTGTTGCTAACAGTAGTTACTCCATTGACAATGCAGACATACACTCTGTCAGGTCACCCATGAACACATTCACCCTCTGGTCACGAACGAGCTATCTTCTCTTAATGCACAGTATACAATTATTTTGATGCATTACAATGCACAGTATCTGGACCATGGCTGCTGAATGGCCAGAGGATGCTTGGGGCAAACAGAGAGCGGGAGCGTGTTGGTGAATAGTCGGCCTGTCTAGAGGCATCTACATGTCTTCCTGTGAGACCAGAGCAGGTCACCACATCCACCATCAGTCCCTGTTAGCTACGCTTGAACACACACAATAAACTGTAGTAGTCTCTCTTAGAGTGTTCTCTTCATGGAATATTATTGCAATACAAATACAGTATGCATGCTAAAGACCCTCAGTTATGCAAACGCACATGAGGTCATACCATAAATGTGTGCACGACCACACACACACACACACACTCACTGTCTGCCCCGAGTTTTCAGATTACGTAACCTGCGTATGCTGACTTTTCTATGTGAAGGCAGACAGGATGGTAATAGTATAGGCTGCTTTGTCAATAAGCACACAAATCCCAGAACAAAGGCACAGGTTGAACACACGCATGCACACACACACAAACACACACACACACACACAACCCTCCTTACTTACCCCATTCCCATTGCCAGCCCACTGTCCCTGTCCAGAGAGCCGACAGCCCATGTCTGTGTCACTCTGGTGGAAGTCTGGCCGATCCACTTACAGCAGTGGAGGAGGGAAGGCCAGCTCGAAGGCAAGAGTGAGGTAGACAAGCCAGCTCGGAGGTATGAAGGATGAAACCAGGGCAGGGGTGCATCAATCCAATCTGTGCCAGAGTCCAGGGAAGAGTTAAGGCAGGCAGAAATGCCCCCCCTCAAATGATGGAGAATGTGAGCCTTGTCAGTGCGTGGATTCTGCAGTACTGGAGAATAGAATGCTGCTGTTACTCGCTTCACTTCTCTCTCATCCTCTCTCAGAGTTAGCCTCTGAGGCTCCACCCATGAACAGACCCTCTGCTCATGCATATTCAGCATCTGCCAACACCAATGAACCAATCCCAGAGCCAGAGTGTGAGAGGGAGGGAGTCCTGTGGATGGTATTGGTTCAAAGGATCAGCAGTCAAACATCATTCATTTATTCAATATTCCCCACAGTGTTTATCACCATTTGTACTTGATGAAAATGAAACGTTCTTTCCCTTTATTTCACCCCCTCCTCCCCAAACGAAGGTATATTGGTAATTGCATGTCAGAGATTACTCCCATATCAATGTGACAATTCGCATTATGTTTATATTTGCCATTGTAATGATAGAAGCTAAATGTGTCAGTAAACAAATACAGTATCTCATTATTATGCTTAAATATTCAAGTAGCCAACCCTTGGCAAGCACTCTTACCAGTTGTGGTATTATTGAATGCTGGGGAATTGGTTTAGTTATGGAACATAGTTGTAGTGCTATAATGTGTACAGAAGGAGAGGGAACTATGCAAGAAACACTAATGCTGGTTAATAAGCTTTAATTTTAAACTGTAGGGAGAGAAAGGCATAAACACACATCCACCAGAACACGTTCCTTCACATCACCCGTCTAAAGCACTGACACAGTCATACTCACAGAGGATGAGTCAACCCCCAGCAGAGGCAAACAATCTCAGGGCGCAGTTACTGTAATGTCAGTCAAAAGCATGGATTTGCTATTCACATTGTGTGTGAGCTGTGTCTTTGGGATCAAGTCCAGGGTTCTGGTTTGCCTGCTTGCATTCTCACATGAATCCAGTGTCTCCAGGTTCTAAGAATATCCCCTTCACCAATCATTTCCTCTTATAGATGTTCAGTCTGTTAGTATGAGGGATGACGAGAGTCGAATAGATCAGTTAAAGGTAGCCTAGCTATTGCTGAGAACAGAGAGTGCTTCAGAGGAGATAAAAGGACAAATAAAAAACAGGAGCTTGTGAGAGAGAGAGAGAGAGAGAGAGAGAGAGAGAGAGAGAGAGAGAGAGATAGAGAGAGATGAGAAGAGAGAGAGGAGACGATCTGATAGATGAGAGAGAGAGAGAGAGAGCTATTAGACAGAATCGTCGCGCTTCCAGCTCGCCTCGCTCTCTCGAGCCCTTACGAGAGACTCGCCTGCTCGCTTAGAGACTCTTCGGGTCGCTCTCGCTCTCTGAGACTCCTCCAACGAGAGCGCCTAGAGAGAGAGGCTCTGCCTACCATGATAGATGACTCTCTCTCCCTCTCTCCTCTCCTCTCGCTCTCTCTCGCCTCTCCTCTCTCGCTCTCTCCTCTGCTCTCTTCTCGCTCGTCTGCTCCATCGAGCGTCTCTTCGGCGGACGCTCGTCTCCGAGAGAGAGAGAGAGCGAGAGAGAGAGAGAGGGCACACTAGTTCATGTCATCTCCAATCACGTCCCCACGGAGTGCCAGCCTCCCAGCTTCTCCTCCCAGTCCCAGCTAGCCAGCAGGTGGTGTCCTGCTGTCCCCTCTCACCATGCCTGACTTTGCCTGTTGTTTCAGTCACTGGGGCTCTCTGCATCCACTATTTGTGTCTGTCTGTATTGATATGTCTAGCTATATTTCATATGTAAATGTTGGCGTTGTGGTGTTCTGTGTGCGGTAGTTTTAGTGTGCAATGGTGCGTGGTATTCCCCTGTCCAGTTGATGCAGTCAGGGTTATAGAATTAGCCACCGTAACCAACTGGGAGTCTCTCTGTCTCTCTTTGAATCTCATTCATTAAAGTCCCTGTGCACACACCCATTAATACAGTATATACATGCACTTAAACAGCTGACAGGATTGGTTAACTGCCGACGTCAGTGCTCGGAGAAACCAAAAAGTGTCACATCGAATCATCTAAGGAGGACATGCATTTAGCGAGCCCGGTGATGTGACATGACATTTCAATGCCTAGGAGAGTTTTTTTTAAATCCAGTCTCTTAAAAAGCAATCTAAAATACTAAGCCAGGGAGCGAGCGAGTCCTTCAGTTCTGGGTACCTTACAAGCGGAGCCCGGGCCCCCCTCGACTAAATCTAATTTCCCTGTGAACGCTGTGGAGGCCTGAGTGTCTAAATGCACCTCCAGAAATAGCCTCACAGAGAAGTGGTGAATGAATATTTCAGTTGTGCTGCTGACTCCAAGCCATGCCAGTTGTGCTGCTGACTCCAAGCCATGCCAGTTGTGCTGCTGACTCCAAGCCATGCCAGTTGTGCTGCTGACTCCAAGCCATGCCAGTTGTGCTGCTGACTCCAAGCCATGCCAGTTGTGCTGCTGACTCCAAGCCATGCCAGTTGTGCTGCTGACTCCAAGCCATGCCAGTTGTGCTGCTGACTCCAAGCCATGCCAGTTGTGCTGCTGACTCCAAGCCATGCCAGTTGTGCTGCTGACTCCAAGCCATGCCAGTTGTGCTGCTGACTCCAAGCCATGCCAGTTGTGCTGCTGACTCCAAGCCATGCCAGTTGTGCTGCTGACTCCAAGCCATGCCAGGTTGGACCAGATGTGTTTGGATTTGATCTCTTTTTCTCCCCAGGTGTTAACCTTTGGTTAACATGGCTTTGCACTTTTTCACCAACAACTATACCGTTCATTGCATAGGCCAACTCTGTTTTTTTTCCACTTTGTTATATATTTTACCTGCAACACACCTAACTGATAAAAATGATAAAACATTACAGAGAGAAGAGAAAGGACTATAGGAAGACACAAAGCATATTCTAAAACAGAATAACCTTTGAACACTCACATTTTGTCACGTTCGTTAACAGACGGGACGGACCAAGGCGCAGCGTGATATGCATACATGTTTATTTACGAATAAACACAACGACAAAACAATAACCAAACGATACGTGAAGTCCAAGGCAGCACAACACAACATACCTTAACACGGAACAAGATCCCACAACTAACTAGTGCCAAAAGGCTGACTAAGTATGGTCCCCAATCAGAGACAACGAGCGACAGCTGCCTCTGATTGGGAACCACCCCGGCCAACATAGAAATAGACATACTAGAACATCAACATAGAAATATACAACATAGAACATACACACCCTGACTCAACATATACGAGTCCCTTGAGTCAGGGCGTGACACATTTCTATGGAGCTAAAATACGTCATTTTGATGAGGATCTCAAATTCGCTCATCAGGTTACTGGTTTCCATTCTTTGTGGTAGTGAGAAACATGTATTCACAGTCCAGAGGAAGGTATAGGACACATGGAAGTGTTGAGACCCAACAAGTAGAACAAACAATATTTATTATACTCTATATACAGACATTTACAGAAATATTCAATATTGACAATAGTTATGCTCCTTTAGGCTTAGGAATCACATTGATGTTTATAGAGGATGTGCCTTGCTTTAAAGGGTAGTTGCTGTTAGATTGGTCACAGGTCCTAACTGTTATTATACAACTGTTATATTACATTACATTGTATGTTCTATGCTTATTGCTAAGAAGGCATATGGCAAACTACCAACTGTAATTATTTGCCAGCAAATAATAGCTAAATAACCATCAAATTAGCTACTTTGGTTTATTCAAAATAAATCTATGCTGAATACATAATTATAAACTGGGTGGTTCGAGCCCTGAATGCTGATTGGCTTACAGCCGTGGTATATCAGACCGTATACCACGGGTATGACAAAACATTTATTTTTACTGCTCTAATTATGTTGGTAACCAGTTTATAATAGCAATAAGGCACCTCTGGGGGTTTGTGATATATGATCAATATACCACGGCTAAGGACTGTATCCAGGCACTCTGCGTTGCCTCATGCATAAGTACAGCCCTTAGCTGTGGTATATTGGTCATATACCACACCCCCTCAGCCCTTATTGCTTAATTATATCACAATGTAATTCAACTTCCAGCAACGTCCAGTTCAGCTCCAGATAGTGTGTGTGTGTGTGTGTGTGTGTTTGTGTGTGAAGCCTTTTCCCTCATGCACTCCCTCACAATCCCAGTGAGATTAAAGGCATCAAGCTGGTGACCAGAAGTAGGGATGTAGAGACACTTCCTGCATTGGCCCGAGGTTCTTCCATAGTACTCTCCTTCTCCCTCTTTGTTGCTCTTTCCTCCCCCTCCCACTCCTCCTCCTTCCCACACTACCCTACCGGCACCGCCCCACCTCGGAAGAAGAGACTGGCAGTCCTCCTCGCCACTCTCCTCCCCACCTCCTTCCCCTCCTCCTCCTTCCCCTCCTCCTTTCCCCACCTCCTCCTTCCCCTCCTCCTCCTCCCCCTCCTCCTCCTCATCCCCAGGCTCTGTGCCTGTCTCATCTCTGTCAGCCATGGTTGGCTTAGGGGCTGATGAGTGGTCTGGTTGTGTTGATTCCAGCTCTGTGTCCTTGGTGGCGGTGGCGGTGGAGGTGGCGGTGGAGGGCTCATCAGTGCCTGGGGGAGAGCTGTCCGTTGTCTCCTTCTCTGTATCAGGCTCCTCCGAAGGCTCAGAGGCATCAGGCACTGGGGAAAACAATGATGACAAATCTAAAGCTATGTCTTAGAAACTGATTACAGGGTCCCTAGCCCAATCAATATTCGCAAAGAGGGGATATCATGATCAACCACAATTGGCTCGACACTGAGGTCAGGTTGGAGAGGATGAGATTTGACATCTGTGTGTTTTCCAAGACACTGGAGCGAGATAATGAGGTAAAATATATGTGGGGGAGGGAGGGGGGGGCATGCAGGTGGAGTTGCGGGCAGAGTTGCGTGATTGACATGTGCTGAATTCATACCACAGAGGTTCTGATCACATCGCGGCAGGTTGTCTGGACACTTGGAGCACCTTTCACCTTCCTCATAGGGTTTCTCATCATTAAAGTTACCTCTGAAATGCAAATAACATAGGTCAGTGGTCACTCCGTCAGGGCTGTTAGTCAGGGACCAACCCTAACCCTGACCCTAACCCTAACCCCAGAATGGTATTACAATGTCTCTTCAGCTGTAATGCTAACCCTAACCCTAACGCAATCAGTGAAATGCAATAGTAAGGATTGATTATGTTAACTGAACGTGTAAGTGTAGAAATAGGAGATAAATGTGGAATTCAGTCCATGTTCTCTGGTAACATACTTACGCTGGGTAATAATTGCAGACTAAGAAGGTGACTTTCTCAAAAGACAGCCCCTCCATGGTATCACAGCGATGAGTAGCACAGCCCACAGAGTGAGAGTCCGCCCACACCATCTGAAACATCCCCAGCAGTCTTGTTACAACGTCTTCATCTTCATCATAATCGTCATCATCACCATCACCATCATCACTATCCTCATTACCATCATCATCATCACCATCCTCATCACCATCATCATCATCATCATCAATATCATCATCATCACCATCCTCATCACCATCATCACAATCATCACCATCAACAGCACCATCACCATCATCATCATCACCATCATATTCACCCACCATCACAGGGATTATACACACAGGAGTAAAGACATAAAGGAATATTCAACCTGTCACAGTTATAGTAATGTGTTATAAGAAGTGTATTCTTATAAGTAACTAGTATCTCCCTGTGTCACTCACCTGAGTGTAGTGTCCACACATCTTGTCATCCTGGCAGCTGTTGTTGTTGTAGTCGTAGTCTAGGTGCTCCAGGAACCACTTCTCCATGGCAATGTTGGGGTCAAAGGGTCCGTTGGACACAAACAGGTTCTCTCCCGTGTTCAGCTCCTCTAGATCCGGGTTGTGCTCCCATGTACACTTCACAGCATAGCCCTCAGCTACGATCTTCAGCTTCTCATCCCATTTCTGAAGGGGAAAAAGAGACAAACCATCGTATTATACAACCAGTAATCTGTTTGAATGCGACCTGTAATCTGTACAGATGTAGTGCTGCAGAATGAGCGACAGAGGGAGATATTAACCAACATTGAGGACCAAAACAGAACTCTTTGTATGTAGCCTGCTATGCACTCTCTTATATTAGTGTTTCAATAGTGTACAACTTCAAACTACTTCAAATTAATCATACTATTCAGCATATCCACCACATTGCAAGTAAGTTTGATCCTAAAATCACATCTGTCCTATTATTCTGATTCTAAAAAGGGAAAAATGAATCTTTGCAAGTGGCATCCTAAAACCAACAGCTGTGATCCTAGCTCTACCCTTATCTAAATACCAAACATTCAGGGTTGATATAAGATAGCACAGCACTAGCAGATTGTATTACAAGAGGTATGCTTATGAAAACATCAGTGGAGTTTGGAGATCAGACACTCTATTGCTAATGGTTTTGAATTTAGCTATTTATTTATTTGATGTATTGTGCCAATGTATACTACCCTAATATTTGAGCAATTCCTGACCCGGACACCCACCAGTTGACATTGGTATTTCCTTCTAATACTGCCTGGAAGAAGAGGAATTTCCTTCTTCACTATTGAAATGTTAATATTGCAAACCAATAAGGGAGGGTTTGTTATATTAACATTGGCGGAAGACAGACCATGATTATCTATGTCTAAAATGATCTTTATCCCCTTTAACTTTAGACATAAACCATACTGTACATTACATTACATTAGTCACACCAACATTCCCATGTAAACCAAATACAGCGTCTTCCACATTTTTGTTACATTACAGCCTTATTCTAAAATTGATTCAATTGTTTTTTCCCCTCAGTCTACACACAATACCCCATAATGACAAAACAAAAACAGGTTTTTATAAATGTTTGCAATTATTTTATTTTTTTAACCCTGAGCCTTTACTCAGTACTTTCTTGAAGCACCTTTGGCAGCAATTACAGCATCGAGTCTTCTTGGGTATGATGCTACAAGCTCGGCACACTTGTATTTGGGGAGTTTCTCCCATTCTTCTCTGCAGATCCTCTCAAGCTCTGTCAGGTTGGATGGGGAGCGTTGATGCACAGGTATTTTCAGGTCTCTCCAGAGATGTTCGATCGGGTTCAAGTCCAGGCTCTGGCTGGGCCACTCAAGGACATTCAAAGACTTGTCCCGAAGCCACTCCTGCCTTGTCTTGACTGTGTGCTTAGGGTCGTCTGCTAAATGACCTAAATGTAAATGTTGTCCTGTTGGAAGGTGAACCTTCGCTCCAGTCTGAGGTCCTGGGCACTCCGGAACAGGTTTTCATCAAGGATCTCTCTGTACTTTGCTCCGTTCATCTTTCCCTCGATCCTGACTAGTCTCCCAGTCCCTGCCACTGAATAACATCCCCACAGCATGATGCTGCCACCACCATGCTTCACCGTAGGGATGGTGCCAGGTTTCCTCCAGATGTGACTCTTGGCATTCAGGCCAAAGAGTTCAATCTAGGTTTCATCAGACCAGAGAATCTTGTTTCTTTAGTCTTTAGCTGGCTTTTTTGCAAAATCCAAGTGGGCTGTCATGTGCCTTTTACTGAGGAGTGGCTTCTGTCTGGCCACTCTACCATAAAGGCCTGATTGGTGGAGTGCTGCTGTCATGACTTCCTCCGAAGCTGCCTCCTCTCCTTGTTCGGGCAGGCTTCGGCGTTCGTCGTCACCGGCCTTCTAGCCACTGCCGCATCACATCTCATCATTCCATTTGTTTTGTCTTGTCTATTACACACACCTGGTTCATATCCCCTCATTAGTACTTGTATAAGTGTTCCCTCTGCACCCTTGTCCTTGTGGGTGATTGTTTAATGTGAGGAGAGCAGCTCGGTTGAGCTCTGTGTATTTTGTATTGCCGGGTATATTTTTCCCTGTGTGCCTGTTTTGTTCCAGTGCGCCTGTTTTGCGCACTGGACTGTTTGACACTATTCTGTGTAACTCTGTATTCCGGAATAAACTCTTTATTCTGTGATTTACCCTCCTGCGCCTGACTCCTTCAAATCACTCATCACAGAATCACCCACCCGCTATGGAGTCAGCGGGAGAGGAGCGCATGCCTGGAGTCGTGGCACGGGTCCAGGAGCATTTGACGATGCTAGCCAGCTTGGGAGAAGCGATGGATCGGGTTCTCCAGGCCATCCAACGCCTGGAGAGGAGAGGACCCGATCTGCCGAGACCAGCTGGGCGACCGGATCCAGCCATCCACACCCCAGCACCCAGAGGGATCCAGATATCCCGACCACAGGATTTCAACAGGACAGCTGCTCTCTGCCAGGGATTCCTCCTCCAACCCTTCTATTCCAAGATCAGCCCGGCCCCATCGGAGCGGGAGAGGGTGTCCGCCCTCATCTCCTGCCTCTCGGGGAAAGCCCTGGAGTGGGCCAACGCGGTCTGGAATGAAGGATGAGCCGCGTTGGACAACTACGGGGAGTTTGCTCGCCTCTTTCGGGCTGTCTTCGATCACCACCGCGCAGGACTTCGCCCTGGAGTTCCCGACTTTAGCAGCTGGGTCCGAGTGGAACGAGCGGGCCCTCATCGACCACTTCCGGTGCCATCTGCGGGAGGACGTCCAAAGGGAGCTAGCCTGCCGGGACACCATGTTATCCTTCAATCAACTGGTGGACATGACCATCTGCTTGGACAATCTGCTGGCGGCCAGAGGATGTCCTGGAGGGGTTCTGCCCATTCCAACCCCTCCCGACTCGGATCACGAGCTGATGGAGCTGCGTGGAGCGGCGATCCGAGAGAGCGGAGGACGACAGCGCCGGTGTCACTCTGGTGGCATGAGAGGACATTTCACCGCACAATGTCGTCAGCGTTCTTTTGGGTCTGGAGGCGGCAGGCAGGGCACTCTCACGTCACCCCAGGTATCGAACACCACACTCGTTCAGAGCCCTCTGCTGCGCACTGTATCCTACCCTTCCACTTTCCTGATTACATTGTAGTTCCCCAGTGTAAGGCTCTAGTCGATTCAGGCGCAGCTGGGAATTTTATGGACAGGTCATTTTCACACAGCCTAGGCATTTCATTGGTTCCCCTATCAATTCCACTCCCCATCAGAGCACTTGACAGTCGACCATTAGGGTATGGGTTTGTTAGGGAAGTTACAGCACCAGTCACTATGGTTACCCACGAGACTCATCGCGAGCAAGTCTTTTTTTTATTATTGAGTCTCCTGCTTTCCCTGTAGTATTAGGTATTCCTTGGTTAGCACTCCACAACCCTACCTTTTCATGGCCGCAGAGGGTTCTCACGGGCTGGTTGCGAGAGCGTCAGGGTAGGTGTCTCTGTGTTTCCGTTGGTGCAACCACGGTGGAGAGTCCAGACAGTACCTCCACCGTGCGCATTCCCCCCGAATACCTCAATTTGGCGCACGCATCTTCCAAAACGCAGGCGACCAAGTTACCACCTCATCGGGCGGGGGATTGCGCGATAAACCTCCGGGTAGACGCTGTGCCTCCCAGGAGTCATGTGTATCCCGTCACAGGCTGAAATGGAGGCTATGGAGACATACGTCACCGAGTCCCTGCGCCAGTGATTTATACGTCCCGCCTCCTCAAGTTAATTTTTTGTGAAGAAGAAAGACGGCGGTTTGCGCCCTTGCATTGATTATCGATCACTGAACAAGGAGACGATACGATTTAGTTATCGTCTCCCCCTCATTCCTTCGGTGATCGAGTCAATGCATGGGGCGCGCTTCTTCACCAAATTAGATCTCCGGAGTGCTTACAACCTGGTTCGTGTCCGAGAGGGGGATGAGTGGAAGACAGCATTCAGCACAACCACGGGGCATTATGAATACCTGGTGATGCTTTACAGTTTGATGAATGCTCCATCCGTCCTCCTTTTTTGGTACCCTTCCCCAGATCTGTGCCTCGACACAATCCTGTCTCGGAGCTCTACAGACAATTCCTTCAACCTCATGGCTTGGTTTTTGCTCTGACATGCACTGTCAACTGTGGGACCTTATTTAGACAGGCGTGTGCCTTTCCAAATCATGTCCAATCTTTTGAATTTATTACAGGTGGACTCCAATCAAGTTGCAGAAACATCTCAAGGACGATCAATCGAAACAGGATGCACCTGAGCTCAATTTTGAGTCTCATAGCAAAGGGTCTGAATAAAATAAAATAAATGTGTATTCGTCACATACACGTGTTTAGCAGATGTTATTGCGGGTGTAGCGAAATACTTGTGCTTCTAGCGCCGACAGTGCAGTAATATCTAACAAGTAATATCTAACAATTTCACAACATATACCCAATACACACAAATCTAAGTAAGGAATGGAATTATGAAAAAATACATATATGGACGACCAATGACAGAGTGGCATGGACTTAGATACAGTAGAATAATATAGAATACAATATATACATATGAGATGAGTAATGCAAGATATGTAAACATTATTAAAGTGACTAGTGTTCCATTTCTTAAAGTGGCCAGTGATTTCTAGTCTATGTCTATAGGCAGCAGCCTCTAATGTGCTAGTGATGGCTATTTGATGCACCTGTACTGACCTCGCCTTCTGGATGATAGCGGGGTGAACAGGCAGTGGCTCGGGTGGTTGATGTCCTTGATGATCTTTTTGGCCTTCCTGTGACATTGGGTGCTGTAGGTGTCCTGGAGGGCGGGTAGTTTGCCCCCGGTAATGAGTTGGACAGACCGCACCACCCTCTGGAGAGCCCTGCGGTTGCGGGCAGTGCAGTTGCCATACCAGGCGGTGATACAGCCCGACAGGATGCTCTCAATTATGCATCTGTAAAAGTTTGTGAGGGTTTTAGGTGCCATGCCAAATTTCTTCAGCCTCCTGAGGTTGAAGGCTCTGCTGCGCCTTCTTCACCACACTGTCTGTGTGGGTGGACCATTTCAGTTTGTCAGTGATGTGTACGCCAAGGAACTTGAAGCTTTCCACCTTCTCCACTGCGGTCCTGTCGATGTGGATAGGGGGGTGCACCCTCTGCTGTTTCCTGAAGTCCACGATCATCTCCTTATGTAAATTCGGTTTTTATTTTTATTTTATTTAATTTTTTGCAATCATTTCTAAAAACCTGTTTTCGCTTTGTCATTATGGGGTATTATGTGTAGATTGATGAAGATAAAAAAATAATTTTTTTTTGAATAAGGCTGTAACGTAACAAAATGTGGCAAAAGTCAACGGGTCTGAATACTTTCCGAATGCACTGTATTCCTTTTTATGATCCTTCCTTATTAAATCAAACTTTTACTAAGGAACTTATAAGGAATCTTTCAGTAATACAGGTATTAGTGGTTGAGGAATGTTAACTTATCCCACATAGTTTCAGTTCAATTCCTATTCAAGTATTGTAATGAGCAAGAGGATGAGATTGCACTTGGCAGATAAGGCTTGATCTTGATTTAGCTCACCAAATGTTATGGTGATAATTGGTTTGAATAAATGCAGAGATGCAGTATTGTACGAGTATTGTACGAACACGTTTTGTCTTTGTATCATGACCTGTCCAGACAGAGCGATCCAGTGTGGAGTCAAGTGAAGTTCAGCTTATTTGTCCAGTCACCCCATGACTCTAAACAAACAGTGGACTTGTGTTGGAGGCCGGGGATACTAGTTGAAATTCCACAACATCTTGCGTCCTAGCCTCAGGACATCAGATCTCCTCCTCTCTGAGCTGTACATTTTTGCCATGCTTCAGCCAGAGAAAACAAAGGCGTCCCCCAGACCATCTGGTCAGCATTAGATGCTGTGTCTTGTACACATAAAATCAAGGACATTCCACATGGGGTGTGACTCTGCAGATGAAATCTGACTCAATCAATTGATCACCAGGTAGTGACGTAGAAACCTGTGATATATGAGTCAATGACATATGGCTATGTTTTGAAACTTCCATTAAAATTCCATTGAATCTTCCATAACAATACAAATAAAAAGTTATATTAATTTCTCGTTTCAAATAGGTATGTTCTGTTTCTTCCTGTATACTCCACATTATCTGTCTTTCTCAAGGTAATTGATTACTGTGATGTTTAACAGACATTCCTGTCCCAGGACATCTAATGAACTGTCATTCACAGAAGGTAAGGATGAAGCAATGCTTAACAGTAAGTTACTGTTTAACTGTTAGAATGTTGCGGTTTTGTTGGTCATGATGACTCATGATTCCACTCAAATGCCATTAATGCTTTAATGTTATGAATGAATGATATTAATGAATGATATGAACCCATTCACTCTGCATTCTCAGTCCAGTTTAGTGAAACCGTCATGAACATGAAACACAGAGACAGGCAGAGACCTATCCCTGGGACTGTCAGATAGCAACTTTAGTGTGCACATTCCACAGTGTGCACACTCACACACACACACTCACTCCCATGCATTGCACAACGCTAGACTCAACTCTGAACACCCACTCACTCAGTCACGGTGGGGTGAATCAGCACAGAAATGCACTGAGGCACGGACAGGCTCTATCAGCAAAGTTATTAACTTAACTCTGGATGTCGACAAAAGTTTTGTCTTGGGATTACGTCTGTAATTTATATGCTGATTTAACCACGGGGCAGAGCTGTTTTTGTCAAATTTATAGGATGGTAAGATTGGTGGTGGGAAAAGTACCCAATTGTCATTGAGTAAAAGTAAAGATACCTTAATAGAAAATGACTCAAGTAAAAGTGAAAGTCACCCAGTAAAATACTACTTCAGTAAAAGTATTTGGTTTTAAATATACTTAAGTATCAAAAGTAAATGTAATTGCTAAAATATACTTAAGTATCAAAAGTAAAAGCAAAAGTATAAATAATTTCAAATTCCTTATATTAAGCAAACCAGACGGTACAATTTTTGTGTTTTTATTTATTTACGGATAGCTCTAACACTCAGACATAATTTACAAAGAAAGCATTTGTGTTTAGTGAGTCCACCAGATCAGAGGCAGTAGAGATAACCAGGGATGTTCTCTTGATAAGTGTGTGAATTGGACCATTTTCCTTTCCTGCTAAGCATTCAAAATGTAACAAGTACTTTTGTGTGTCAGGGAAAATGTATAGAGTAAAAAGTACATTATTTTCTATAGGAATGTAGTGAAGTAAAAGTAAAAGTTGTAAAAAAAACCATAAAAAGCAAAGTACAGATACCCAAAAAAACTACTTAAGTAGTACTTTAAAGTAGTTTTACTTAAGTATTTTACACCACTGGGTAAGATGTTTAATACATCTTCTGCAGCACTGTTTATTCTTATTTTTTTATTTGACCTTTATTTAACTAGGCAAGTCAGTTAAGAACAAATTCTTATTTACAATGACGACCTACACCGGCCAAACCCGGACGACGCTGGGCCAATTGTGCGCCGACCTATGGGACTCCCAATCACGGCCGATTGTGATACAGCCTGGAATCGTCTGTAGTGACGCCTCAAGCACTGAGATGCAGTGCCTTAGACCACTGCGCCACTCGGATTTAGTGACTAAAGCTGTGATTTTTCTGTGGTAAAGGTTTTTGTCATTTATGACATGATGATATCATGTCAAAGCAATGGTTATGATACTGTAGATGCAGGCAGAGTTCAGTTTTGATACAAGACTGTTTTAAAGTTGAATACTAACAGATATTTTAAGTTACTGAAGCACCCATTTCATGTTCAATACTGAACAACTGGCAGCATTGCACAAAAATAAATATAAATCCGAAACCTGCCGCCAAAACAATATCAATTGTAATACAGATGAACCCCATGAGAGCAACGAGTACCAGTAACCACACCAGGTGACAGCAGTCAAAACAGGGGTAAACTCAATCAATCCCAACAGCCATACAGTAGTAATCCCAATATCCAAGAAGCTCATCACCACAAAGGGTTAAAACATATTATTTCCACCTATTATGATGCAGAGGTGGCCAGACTGAACCCATCCTGCAGCGGACAGGTAGAGATGCAGGCAGAGATAACCACCTATCCGTCCTCCCAGTCATGCAGCCCTTACCACTTTACGCATGTAGGTGGCATTGGGCACCACCTGGCCACGGTAGCTGTTGTGCAGCTCCACAAGGGTCTCTGTGTCTTCCTCGCTCAGCTGGCAGGAGGCTGGACACAGGGTGACGATGACATACAGTCCCACCAGGCCAGCCCAGAGAGCTGTCCGCCTGAGCATGTCTAGGCAGTGGAGTCCTCTCTTTCTCTCTCTCAAGGGTTACTTCAGATGTCTGCCGGTGTCAGAGGGTGTTGCTGTATGTGTGTTTACAGGGTGTAGATCTGTGTTCTGTGAGTATGTGTATGTGTGTGTATGTGTGTGTGAAAATCTTTCTCTAGGTTAATGTACTTGTGTGTGTACTTATATGTGTATGTGTGTATAGTGTGTGTATAGTGTGTGCTCCAGCTGCTCTGTCTCCTCTCCTCTTGGATCTGAGGCTGGAGATAGAGGGAGAGGCTCCACCCCACTCTCCACAGGAGAACCCCCACACCACCCTCACCCTCACTAGGTCACATTACACACTGCTCTGACTGGTACGCACCGACACCACCCGAAAACAATCGCCCTATTCTTGCGAATCTGGTGTGATTTCAGGCTGGATACAGACACAGATCGAGAAACATTGAGATACAGATACTGTTCATATCTCTGACTCACACTCAGTTGGCCTTAACTCTGTGCTCATCTGCTCTCAACACTAAGTCAGGACACAGATTTCCCCATAGTGCACCGGACAGGAAAGATCTTAAATCTAAACATGGGATGAGTGAGCAGCATCAGGCAGTTGACCTATGTTGTGTTGTATCTCACCCCAGTGTCATATTTACTTTCATTCTCCTTCCGTTACAGCTCTTCATAACAGAGGAATTTCCACAGTTGATAAAGAATGTAATGTGATCCTATGCTTTGGGTTGGGTAGGACGTGATACACTTGGCACATACACATCTCTGTATCATCAACATTTTGGTAGATACCAGACTCTTTTCTGCATTCAGATTTGAATTTAATTTCCAGGAATGCATTTCTTATGACAATCAAATTAAATAAATACTTATTAACATTAGGGACACTCCTAAAATCTGAATTGCAATGGGATTTCATGATTTCAGTTATGACAAATGTAGCAAACAAAGCAGTTTCCCCAGCCCATAATTCATACAATCCTGCTGGAACCGGGGAATGTCTCATTGCTCACCCCAGGGTGTTTTTACATGGGGCCTTTATAAGGTTCAGGGCAGTACATTCAGCACACTGAGACCCTTCCATACATTATCTCAATACTATTTCATGAAAACATACCCAGTATGAGTCTTTGAGAGCCAGGGATTTGCACTGCAGAAAAACAACAGATCTGAGCATGTGATGTTTGCTGTCATTCATTCTAGTGGTTGACATTCCATTAATGAATTACATATGAGGTATCAGTCATATTGGAGTGTTCACAGGAAAGTGGTTCGTTTCTTTTTAGCATCACTAGAGCCATAGAGGGTGTGGACCTCTCAGCTCCTTAAAACTTCATTAGTCCAGAGAAGTGGGGCCAAGTCCCTCACACACACATAGCAACCAAACACTCCAGCTGTCCATGGTCAGTAGCTCAATATGCACAGGTCTGCAGAATGAACTGAAAGCTGAGACCTGATAAGCTGATCCTGGACCCTCCCCAAAAGCCCTTCTCCAGAATGTGCTCCATGACTGTAATGCCACAGGGAGCACAAATATTAGAGCCGTTCTGAGAAACCTTGCCTGAGAGAAAAGCTTGCAAAACAACTATGACTTACTTACAGGAAATGTACAATATTACTACCAGCTGAGAAGAGGATTGCATCATTTTATTACGTTACCCTCCACAGAAAGGATCTCTCCGTAATGTGCTGTATCTCAAATACACACCCTGGTGTCCCTCCCTCTCCATACAATGTGTTTATGTGCTTTAGCAGCTTTATGGACATGGGAGTTTAGGAAGAAAATGTTTTTCTCACACATTAAGTAGATTCATGCACAGGCAGTAATGTTCAGTGTAAGGAGTGAGGGAGTAATTCATGAGGACTGGTCCATTGATCCGCCCTAGCTGTCCTGCCATAGTGGAAGAGCCATTTCTCCCTGGCTAAGCAAGAGCAGAAACCACCACTCGTTAATCAGAGCCACATCTGAATTAATCCAAATCAGATACAGTGATGGAACACAACAACAACATGTCAAGAACTCACATTTAGCTTGTTTTGCTCTGCCATAATCTTACCTGTTATCTTTCATGCAGGGCTAAAGGATGAATCGACTAGGCCTTTCTGAATCCTGGTTGTTTCTTATCAGCTAGTGTTTTTCTAGGACACAGCTATCTTGGTTGCAGATTCAGTTTGATATCAAACGTACATACCACTACAATTATTAGGCTACTCTTGAATAAGCACTAGCAGCTTCACTTTGTTTTTATTCAATAACACCACGTTCTGTGACTTTATCTCGACCTACTATCTCAGAGGTCTTAGCAAAGTGATTAATGGACAAGACAACAACATAAAGGCATTAGGCCTCAACCTGTCCTGGGGTGTTTCAGATGTTCACCCTAGATGTATCCCTAGTTCTCCAGCATCATACCCACCTTGGTCTTGACTAGATTCACCAGGCCTATGATAGGCTTCAGATGGCCAGAGGAGAGCTCTGGAGATCCACACTTTTCAGGGATCTAGAGCCCAGTGCTGAAGTCATGGTGAGCTATGGTAAGGGCAACCCCACCCCAGGGCTGCCTGTGCCCCTGTGGCCTGACCCAAGCCATGGTTGAGTTTGAGCAAGAAGATTAAGTCCAATCTCAGATTACTTTCCAAGAGCTTGCTGATACTGAACAAAGCTCAATACATTTGATTGTTATGAATGGGGTCAAATTAACAACTCTTTCAAAGTGATACAGAGGCTAGTTTTACATGTCCAAGTGTGAGTAAACATTCTGAATGACAGTGTTTACATGGGTGGGGATAATGATGATTTTATAGTCCATTACAAAAACGTAAAATCGTACAACCATCAACTTTGGCATGGTAACCAATGAAGCGCAGACACACTCTCTTTGGAAGTGTTCCATCCTGCTTATCATATTGTAGCGATCCTCGTCCTATGAGAACTTTACAATTCCCACCAAGTGAGTTATTGCTATTGGTGCGATGCATAGGGTGTTTGCCTTATACGCTAGTGTCCCGGGTTTACTTCCCTGCCCTGCCGTGCGCTACAATATCATCACCTCAGAGAGACATGAGATGTATTATGCAATTAAACACTAAGAGGTTCAGTAAACCCTTCATACTGCGTTATTTATTACAGGATGAATTCAAGTAATAGGTCATTAGAGCCTTGGCGACCATGGTGCAGGAGTACAGGCAGATTTTGGGGTGGGGTGTCTAGCTGCTACAGCTGAGTATGACTTCAGCTCTGGGCTCTGATTCCCTGTGTTCGGCCCCTGAGGACTCCCCTCCTCATGCATCTGGAACCTTTCACATCACAGGCCCTCAGTGCAGAGCAGCTCCCCATCATCCTCTCTCTCTCTCTTTATCTACCAGGATGCGTGCTGTAGAGAAGCAGGGTTCTGCGAGGAGCCCTTTCTGTTCAATTTGATGAAAACTCTAAGTTCCCCAGGAGAGGTTAAATGTCCATCTTATGCCTTGTGGTCAGAATTGACAACAAAGACATAGAAATTTTGTTCCATAACTTATTTTGATTCTCAGGGTTTGACTACAAAAAAACTATTACTTATCATACAGTACATTACTCATGCATGTGTAATCTTATCAACCCTTACGTTCAAAATGTAATCAAATCCAATCAATGCAATAAACTTTTTCAAGGCCTAGAATTTGAGTATGACTTATTCTCTGGACCATCTCAGGCAGGGACTTTTATCCTCAGGGATATTACACAATTTGTTTTCTGATGGAAATTCTGCAACCACTGCACGGTGCTCAGAAATTCTGAACAGGAAATTACTTCTCAAAGAGACATTTGTTGTTTGTTTTTCAATGATTACGTGTAGTGAAGAACACTTCAGAACCCCTAAAAGCATCAGCACCCTTCTCTCTGATTGGAGACATGTACGGACTGTACACTATGATATGTATTTCAACTGAAAATCTAAATAAAGCATTACCAAATCAAAAGCATTAGTTGTTTTTCAGGCAAGACAAATGCAACATAAAATGACTCAACTGACATCTGCTGGACAACTATAATTCAAACCAAACAAAACACAAGCGCTCTCTGAAGAACAACTGATGACATTGTACTGTCTGTTGGTTGCCAAATCTAATCCCTATATTTGATTCATATTTACATAACCTCCATTTTTATTAGATTTGTCCAATTGACGGTAGAGTGGAACAGGTTATGAATATAGTATTGTGAAAACCAAGGAGAAAACAAAGAGAGATTCAGACATGCAGTGCCACCTGCTGTTGATTACATTTACATTACATTTTAGTCAGATGCGCTTATCCAGAGCGACTTACAGTAGTTAGTGCATTCATCTTAAGGTAGCTAGGTGAGACAACCACATATCACAGCCATAATAAGTACATTTTTCTTCAATAAAGCAAAGTCAGAGTTAGTAAGAAAGGCAAGGGAGTTCTTTTTTTCTGGTAATGAATCCTTGTGGGTTACAATATTACTGTTATCCAACACACAGTATGTGGATATAATTCTATCTTTAATATTATATATTTTTTTAAATATGAATGTTTCTAAGTCTAACACATTCTAGTTATACTATTACAACTATTTGCAGAGTTGTGTGTAAGAATGTTTCAAAGGTAAGAACAGTGTGTGTGCTCTTAGTGTGTGACATAGTCATCATTGGGAAATAAAAAGACAAGCAAAACATCCGTATCACATTCAGACTGTCGCTGCCTGGCCTGTGTGGGTGGAAGGTACTGAGAGGAGACATATCCTCTTCCTGACTGATAAATAATGCAATGGCCATGGATCTCCATTCAACTGTACAGAGCTAAATATTTAAGAGATAAATATGTACTTTTACACTATGGTATTTATGTTAATGTTGATGGTATGGAAAACTAATATTGTTGAGTCTGACTAAAACAGTCTGTTAACAGCAGGAAGTGATGTATAGCCATGACAGGAAGTGGCTTGCTCAAACCCTCACTACTGGATTCAGGCCTGTTGACCAGCCTCCCACCCACGTGACTCATCAGGGATATCTGTACGGTGATTTTTCCACATTTTGTTACGTTACAGCCTTATTAAAAAATGGATTACATTATTTTTTCCCCTCATCAATCTACACACAATACCCCACAATTACAAAGCGAAAACAGGTTTTTAGAATTTTTGCAAATGTACTAAAAATAAAAAAC